GATGGAGGAGTAGTGTCTTTTGTCTGATGGCTAATATTTTTTCTTTCATGAGTCTGATATGATGAGTTCCTTGGATGCAACACAAGGAGAAATCAAATACTTCATTTTGGCTATTGAGGGTGTTGTGTTTGGAGTAATGAGAATTTTTGCTTGTGGCGTTGAGCAACCAAACTGTTTCTCTGCCAACGTCGAACCAACATGTAGGAATATTGCTCCTAGATGTGTGTTTGTTTGCTTGTGGCAGGATTGATGACATGTAAGGGGAGTTGACTAGTTCAGGTGACCCATGGTGGGGTCAGCTGACCCCACTAGGTGGGCCCTAGTGGTCCTCCTTCGTTCCACGTGTCTCTAGTGTTGCTTGATATTTGATGTTTTCACAAGTTTGCCCCTGCACAAACATAAACAAAGAATTCAAGTGAAACCACATTATTTGAAAACAAAATACTACTATAATGTTGATGATACCTTCATTTTGATGACATGTTGATGGTCGGACTGAGCATTTAGTGACCATAAACAGCAAGCACATGCCCTTCTTTATTGTCATGTTTTAGTTTATGTTCCTATAGCATGCTTTAGTTCATATATTCTCATGTCTTGCTGCACTTTATATACTTATACCATGATTTAAATCATGTCCATGTGACATGTTTCAATTTATATATTTATGTCATGCTTTATTTTACATATTGTGCAATGCTTCACTTTAACTATGACATGCTTCACTTCATATAAATATGTCATGCTCTACTTTTTCCTTGGTTAAGCGCATATGCCTTTTTTACTTTAATATCATGTGATGGAAGTGAATACATTGGCAATGACATATGAAGCATTTTCCATGCAGCTTTAATCGCTTGGATACCACTCATGCGTGGTTATTTGGAACGAGTATGTCCGGAAGGTCCTGGGTTCGAGTCACGGTCTCCTCGCATTGCACAGGCGAGGGTAAGGCTTGCCACTGACACCCTTCCCCAGACCCCGCACAGAGCGGGAGCTCTCTGCACTAGATACACCCTTTTTTATGCATGTGCTCAAATTTCTGCAATATAACCATGTCCATATGTAATTTTGGGTAGCTCATGTCCATATGTAATTTATGTTTCATATTGCTTACCCAGTCTTACCATGTGTTTCTTGTGGAAATTATCTTGAGTAAGGGCAATGTGTAGCTAGAATCATGATAGTTTGCGTATGTCATGTTGCATGCATATGCATATGAGTTGTAGTTTTTTGTTCATGTATTACATGTTGCACCTTCCTAACCTTGTTCTTTAGAAACCCCTATTAACTTGCCTACCCTTGTTGTTCTAACTTGTCCATAGGAGCTACTCTAACTTCTCAAGGCCTCCATATTTGGTGATCATACAATATTGCCAAAAACTAGATAAGGACCCCATGTTGTTGTTTGAACTTTTTTATTTCGAAGTTGCTCTCACCCTTTCTTGTTATCTCTATGCAAACTTCTTTATGTCTTTTATGCATGTTTGTTGCCATATTTCTACCTTGATACATTCTTTGGTCATGAACTATTTGAACTTTATATTGCTTCCTACAATCCTAGTCCATACCTTGTTTATCATACTTGTTGATGCCTATTGTTGGATCAAATCCTTGCTATCTCCCAAACTCCATTGGTTCAATCCCTTGTTGCATAGTTTAGGAATCTCTTTTTGTTCCTATTATTATTGTAATTATTTTTCTAGCCTATGAATTAGATTGACCGGGTAGAGAGATTAGAACCCCAGGGCTAATCAAATTTTATTCCCTTTTTCTCCATATAAAATTCAATGTTCTTTTTTATCTTGTTAGATTTCTTTTGTATCTTATAACAAATGTTTATTTGGTTGTTATCTATGCTCTTACTGTGTATGCATTTCATCACGGATGATTGCCGTCCCCTTGAATGCCCCCTGTTCCAAATATAACTCCACCCTACTTACATGTAAATATGATCATTTTATAATTGCCAAGAAATACTTAATACTATGGCATGTGAAAAAAGTAAGTACATGACCATGACTCCACGAGGATCCTCGAGAATAATCTATCCGGGTGCTCATTTGGGAACTATGATTGTTCACTTTAGAAATGAATTATTTTATTGACAACAACTTGCATGTTTTAAGTCCCTGTTGCTACCGCCGCCACCGCCCTTGTGATCACCATGGTCCCCCTCCTGCTTCCTGTGTGGCGGCCTCGCCGGCAATTAGGAGGACTGAGGACCTCGCTCCATCGTTCAAGTCTAATAGTTTGAGTTTTAGATGAGATTGGATAAAAGCCTATCCCATGGGCTGTCGACTAGTATTGTCTTTATCGATTGTTGGATCTTATTTATCATAGAGGTCTCTGGTGCGGGCGCTGCTCTAGGCATCTAATCTGGTACGGTGGTCTTCATATTGCTTCTATTTTGGTAGGGTCAATGCAACTAGGGGATAATCGAGTTCCCCAAGTGCACCTATGTGTTATCGGTTCGTTGGATTCTGACCAATCGCGACAACTGGGAAGGTATCCGGGCTTCCAGATCTGACAGTGGTGGCATTGGCAGCGACAGATTTAGTGTCCCTCGATCATTTTTGACAACGAGACGGTCGATGTTCTTTCAGCATGTCAGATACATCCTAGAAAGTTCATGTGGCGTTGGATCATGCGGCGTTTCTGAGTTTTGGTGCCTATCGTTAAGGATGATTGGAGTCTTATGCTCCTTTGGCTATCATCGGTGTTATTTATAGTTCCAACATGTTGGAATTAGATGTCAACATGGTTTAGAGGTGAAGATTATTATTAGGGGACTGGATATACTCTAGTGTATATTTCTTTGCGTCTAGAGACTTGCATGTAAACAGGGTTGTAATTGTGCTACCTTATTAATAGAATTTCTTCCCCTTCCGGGAAAAAAATAACTTACATGTTAATAGTGAGGATGTTTGATAAGAATAACTATAAATCATTTTCTTATTGTTTTTGTTTTATGAATGACTAATATATTATAAACATAAAGAGCTTAAAATCTGGACTCGCTTCATTAGGCGTTCATATATCAGTGCACGTGTGGACATGTGGTGATGTGTCTATGAGCACAAGAATATGTCTTGTCTTTATTTCAAGGAAGAGCAGATGGAATTGACATTTGCCATGTTAGTTTCAGATTTGGTACGGCTAGCTAGTCCCTAGCTAGTGTAGATAGGAGAGTAACTTGTTTGAAATCTTGCGGTTCCTTCTTGGTTTTTCTCCCGTTCTTTCTGACCGTTCTCCATCGGTGGTTATCTTATTACATTTCATGTTAGCTGTTGATGAGTTCTGATCTTGTTTTTCTTTTTGAAACAACTTGATTGCCCTGATCTCAATATCACTTATTCCTCTTTAGGATTATTACTAGCAAATATGTCCAATGGGACGTACAATTTGTTATGTGGTGCTCATACTAACGATAATGAGCTAGCTATTTTTGTTGGATTTAATTAGTCTTAGTTCGACCTTAAATCAAATAAATTACAACATAGGTAATAAATGCTAGTGCAATAAAGGATTAATCTGGTATGGTACATTCACAGGAGGTTGACTCAACTGAAATAAATAGCTATGTGTGCAGCTATTGTGAGTTTAAGAAAGTGGAACAAGAGTTAGATTTGGCACACCTAGCTAGTCCCTATAGGAGAGAGTACCTTGCTTGAAATCTTGTGATCCGTTCTTGGTTTTCCTCCTGCTCTTTCTGACAATTCTCCATCGATGGTTATCTTAGTACTCCCCTCAAGTCCAGTTTATAAGACATTAATTTGCTTAAGTCGAGAGCCAAATTTTATAATGTTTGACCAATAATTTAGCTATTAACTTTTAACTATTATAATACAAACTTAATATAATTATATTTGTAATCAGTTGTACTATCCAGTAATCGTAAGTTTGTAATCATAAACAATATATATAAGATAAATGAAAGATGATCAAAGTGTAATTTAGGAGATCGTGTCACGTCAGAAGACGCCTTATAAACTGAATCGGAGGGAGTACATCTCATGCTAGCTGTCAACTGACCTAATTTTTTCTTTTCAAAATAAATTGATTGCGGCTGATCTCAATATCTCCTATGCCTCTTTAAGATTATTACTAGCAAACATGCCCATACAGTGCTTATGTAATGATAACAAGGTAGCTATTTTTGTTAGATTTAATTGGATTTGGTCCAACCTTAAATCAAATAAATTTTAAAGCTCATAATAAATACTAGTGCAATAAAAGATAAATCACAGATTGGCTCAATACTTTTTTTGACAGAGGGGTAGACTCAATACTGAACTAAATAGTTATTCAGGTAGTTGTTGGGAGTTTAAGAAAGTTGGAAGGTAAACAACATGTCCTCTTATTTCTGACCGTTCTCCATCGGTGGTTACATGTCACGCTAGTTGTTGATTGCTCTGATGATCTCAATATCTCCTATGCCTCTTTAGGATTATTCAGGACTGAGGACAAGTATATCCAATCTCTTGTTGATTTCTTGCTTTTTTTTCATTTTGTGAAAGTTGCATTTCTTTGCGTTGATCTCTCGCTGATCTCCGCTATATACCTCGGACGTGATGATACAACACATAAACTGGAGCTAGAAGTCAACGCTTTGTCGACTTCGGCATAAAGAAAAAAAAATACACTCACGTGTATTTTCTCATATTTTGGCGAACGTACAACTAGTTCTTCCATGGCTCTTTATGTAACAGTACACTAATAAGTGGCATCTCTGTCTCTCTGGTAAAAAATTGCATCTTGGAAGCCTTTTTCTTTGACCAGAGGCTGCGGTTTGCGACGTGCATGTGCATTCTAGCGAGAACACTGCTATCCAGATATCCGGTGAATCGTTGCGTAGGAAAGTCCGCCAGAATTGACGTCGACAACTCCAGAATCGACGTCGACAACTCATGGCTTTCTCTTTCTGGGCAACAAATTTCTTATATTATTTTAGTATATATACATCCTTGTATCCGTCTGCTGTTGCAACAATCCGCGCCATGACGATGAACACGATGGTAGCTGCGGCAGCCCTTGCTCTCCTCCACCTCTTTGGAGTTTCAGCCACACGCGCAAGCGCTCAGTCGTCGTCGTCACCACCACCACCAGCAGGCATCTCCTCCTGCCTGCTCTCCAATGGCGTCACCAACTTCTCCCTCCCATCATCCCCAAGCTACACGCCGCTCCTGGACTCCTCCATCCGGAACCTCCACTTCGCGCTCCCGAGCGTCGGCAAGACGGCCGCCGTCGTGCTCCCGGCCACCAAGCGCGACCTCCAGCGCGCCGTCCTCTGCGCGCGCAACACCTCGCTGGCGATCCGCGTGTGCAGCGGCGGGCACAGCTACCAGGGCCTCTCGTATACCACGGAGAACCACGTGCCCTTCGTGGTGATCGACCTTGCAACCTGAACCATGTCGACGTCGACCCGGGCTCCTCCACAGCCTCGGTCGAGTCCGGCGCGACACTGGGCGAGGTGTACCACGCGGTGGGGCTGTCGAACCGGACGCTAGACTTCTCTGCCGGATCCTGCGCGACGGTCGGCATGGGCGGGTTCGGCCTGCTGTCTCGGAAGTTCGGGCTCTCCGCCGACAACGTGCTGGACGCCCTCCTCATCGACTCGAGCGGCGACGCGCTGACCCGCGACACCATGCACGCCGACGTGTTCTGGGCCATCCGCGGCGGCGGCGGAGGCAGCTGGGGCGTGGTGTACGCGTGAAAGGTCCGGCTCGTCGCGGTCCCCGACAACATCACCGTGTTCAGCGTCGGCCGGACCGGCCCGGCCGACCTCATCGCCGGGCTGATGCACATGTGGCAGTACGTGGGGCCGAGTCTCCCCGACGAGTTCTACCTCTCGACGTACATTCCCACGGGGACATCGAACGGTGCCAACCACTCCATGTCGTTCACCGGCCAAGTTCTCGGGCCGAAGCGTCTTGCCATGTCGGTGCTGAGCCAGACCTTCCCCGAGCTGGGGCTCGCCGAGTCGGAGCTGTCCGAGGTGAGCTGGCTCGAGTTGGCGGCGAAGTTCGCGGGCCTGAGCACCGTCGCCAACCTCACGAGCCGTCAGCCGGGAGTGGGGTAGTACTCGAAGAGCAAGTCCGACTACGTCCAGGCACCGATCTCGATGCGGGACGCGGTGAAAATCCTGCGGTTCATGGCGACAGGGCCGCCGGAAGGATCCATCCAGCTGGATCCCTACGGCGGCGCCATGGCGAGGATCGGGAGCACCGTGACGCCTTTCCCACACCGTGCTGGGTACCTTTTCAGCATCCAGTATGGCGTCTCGTGGAAAGCGTCGGATGTCGATCGTGCGGACGAGTACATCGTCGGATGGCTACGGTCGTTCTACGCTTTCATGGCGCCTTACGTGACTGTGAACTACTTGGACCTTGATTTGGGCACCAATGGCTGGATGAATGCGACTGGTGGAACGTCCTATGGCTCTGTGGGACATGCGGCGTCATGGGGCGAACGCTATTTCTTCATGAATTTTGGCAGGTTGGTTCGAGCCAAGACTAGGGTTGATCCTGGAAATGTGTTCAACAATGCACAAAGCATTCCTCCTTTATACTCATAATGTATAGCAGTGATTATTATGACAATAATTGAATGGATAATTTGCTGGTTGGAGAATGGATAATTTGCTGGTTGGAGAATGGCTCAGGTCTTCAAATATCATATTGGTGCATGGTTGTTGAGATGTTCTTGTTCTCCGAGCTTCACTAGTTTAGATCTCTCGGCAAAAACCTTGGTCGATCTGGTGCCAGGCCGGCACAATGGTGTATGTGATGTCGTGTCCTCTGTTTGAAGCATAGCCTTACTGCCTTAGACTTTATGTATGGGTCCATTTGGTAGTGCTCTAACTCCAGCTAAAACAACAGCTAGCATGAAACAACTTTGGGTGTGTTTGGTTGAACTACGACTTCTGAAAAAGTGGTTTTGGGCTGTGAAAAAGCTGTTGTTGATTGTGGGCTGTGAGAAAGTTGAAAGCGATTAGGTTGAACGACTGTGGCTTCTGAAAAAAAAAATTGTTAGTGGCCCCACATGTCATTCATGACCCCACATTTCAATCTCTTCTCTCTCCCTCCATCTTCTCTGGTGTGCTCCCGTCCGTCATCCATGACTGGATGAGCCCGTCCCATCCGTCATCCATGCCTGGATGAGCCCACCGCAAGCAGTTAGCTCCGAGATCTAGGATGTTTTGCTATGGCTCGCTGCTCCGCTTCACCTACAACACCACCGCCACGTCCTCCTGCTCCTCCTCGTCCCCTAGAGGCCAGTGACAAAGCTACGTTACCAGTTGTGGGTGCAGCTGCACCCACAGAAAAATGAAAACCCAATACTATATTAAAAAATTTCCCATGTTTGCAACACAAATTCAAGTATAAACATAGCAAGTGCATCACCCTTTGATTCACTCTAGCTTTGCCCTGCTAGAGGCGCCGGCACAGGGCCCGAGCTCGTGACCAAGCCTCCGCCGCCGGTGGTGGAGGCAACCGCCGCGTGCTCCTCCAGCCACATGTTGCTGGCCGTGGACGACGACTGGGAGTCGTTCCTCACCTCCTTGCGACACAACCTCATCCGCCGCACCGAGTCGTTCTCCATCGCCGCCGATGGCCCTTGTTTCTCACACGGATTGGGGGAGGGCTTGAAAAAATGAGACGATACATATCATAATCAGCGGCAGGTGGGTAATTTTTGAGAAAACTTGAACCCCACAGCCGCTAGAAGCAGGTAAGTAGGTTATGTGACATTTGTACTAGGGAAAAGTTGATTTTTTTTATAGAACATAGGAGAAAGTTTGTCCCTTTGGTAGAGTTTTGGTTTCTTAGGAAACCAAACCAGGTTGGGAAGCCCAACCAAAGGAATCTTTTTTCTGGCTCCAGCTTCATTGGTTAGAAAAATGTTTGGTAAAATAGGTTCCCTAGTCATTGAGAAAGATAAAATGTCTTTAATACCATTGTAATTTTTCTTTCTTTCTTTCTCTTTTGCTTTTCTTACTTTATTTTTTCTTCACTTATTTTAGTTCTCGTTTGTCTTCTCTCTCCAATTTATGTTCTCCACCACATGTCTTCTTCTCCACCGGGCGCACGCCTCCTTCCACCTTCTTCCACCACACGGTCGGTCCTTGCCGCGCTAGGCTACTGTCAGCAGTACCCTCCCCGTCCCACGCCACCTTCGCCATGGCTCTGCCCCTCCTCTCTCCTTCCCGTCTCACTCCACCATCATCTCGCACCACACCAACCTTGCCCATGCCAGAGAAAATCACAGACGGAGCCACACTGGGCCAATGAGATCGAGAGGGAGCCGACTAAAACTACTATTTTTAGGTCCCACTCTCCCCCCACCCGCTCCTCTTCAATGGGATTCTTGGGGCTTTTGCAAAAGAGTGGAGTGGGGGCGTTTGGTTGTCACACACGCTGAGCATCTAGTGGAGCGCTACCAATGGAGAATTAGTGGACTTCAGGTACATGTGAGTTGCTTTAGAATTAGTAGACTTTTAGTGAGATACTTTAGGTGCATGGTTGCCTTCTATTTGTGACTGAATGCTAGTATTTGTGGAGTTTTGTATCATCTTACTTCATGGTATAAAATAATATGTGTGAAAGGATCGAATGGCTAGGGGTGGATTATGCTCTAAAGTTTAAAGCGCAATTTTTTAGAACCTTAACCTAACCTACTTCGCCCTTTGTCCAAACCTATCTTATACTAAGATATAGTACTTGTGATAAAAAAACATACTAAGACAAGGTTCATAGGTCCAATATACTAAGCCATGTCCTTGATTGAAAGATCACACTAGCATTATGTCCTTGGGTGTAAGAAAGTAAACCTATAATGTTAGTTTGGGAACAAAGAGCTACAATACTCAATCATGTACTTCAAGCACAAAATAAACTAGCAGTAAAAATAGTCTGTGTTATAGCACTCACTAAGAGTTAAGCTCCCTTGGGTCACCAAGGCCAAAGCTCCACCAAGAGTACCCATTCTCCACCAAACTAAGCACAAAGCCTTTTGGGCCTTCTAACCATTGCTAACAAGAGGAAGATCGCTGAGCCACAATCAACAAGCTATATAGGTGATGGAAATCACTAGGAGTAAAATAATTCTAGCTTCACTTGATCAAGAACCCAGCCAGAAGAATGCACACTTGCTACTCACTTGCGCTAAACAAGTCTTAATCTTCAACCAAAGAAATTGCAAATCACTAATACACTCTCCTCTAGCAAAATGATATCCAAGATGTGTCTATCCAAGCTAGGGATCATAGATGGATCAAAATGAGATATAGAACATATAATAAGCCACTAAGAAGAGCTAGCCATTAGGCAACGCGGTGCAAGTGTAGGCAACATCGGATGATGATTCGGTGCCTTGCATAAATCCTTCACCTAATCATCCAGTGAGGACTAACATCTTCGACATACCAAAGGTCTACTATAGCATTGCTCTGATGTGCTATTCGTATCCATCACCGGATCAAATAAATGGTGATCAATATAACCAAGAACTGAGTTGTTCAATACATAAACAACAAACACTAGAAATATTGGAATGTTTGTTAACCACCCTTTAAAATAAACTGACACGTGGGGGGCCATGAGATATTGGAATGTTTGTTACAGTCAACCTATTGGAGGATTAATCTATTGTGTACTCTATAGTTGATGTGGACAAAATTATAGAGAGAAAGCTATGTATACCACTGTGGCTACCCTAATTTGTAACACGGTTATGATGTTGGCCTCATCGCATAATGATACAATGAAATCGAGAATGGACATCATATGAAAGTTGTCATCAATTAAAATACCCAAATAATAATTGTACAACAAATGCAATGTGCTAATTTAATGTCATTCTACCTGACTTCCCTACTGCGTGTTGTGTCAACCTCAAAAAGAATTTTTTTTCTACTTGTGACTAGGAAAAGACAAAAGGGTCCATAGCGGACATCATGTGAGCTGACATTTGCTAGTCAATTCAATTTGACTTTGTATAATGACCATTACTCTCTCATCTAATATGTGTTTCCATTTCTATGTGGGCCATTATGTTCCTCGTGTCCATATCTTCAAAACAAGTATTTTATATATGTTTTGAGTCATTTTATTTGCACTAACAACTTATGTGTATCGGTACTATTAGCTTATGTTAAAAAGTTGATAGTAAATTTCCCATGTAAATTGCTTCCTGACTTTAAACATAACTTGCTAACATTTCATTTACAAATTACCAAACATATAATATAGTTTGCTACACCATATCCGCATAAATAAGTTGCTTCGTCAACACATAAAAGCACAAGCTGTTACATAAAAGTTGTATTAGACGTGCAACACAAGTTGTTATGGAATATGAACAAATTGTTCCCACAATCTACATAGTCTCTCTCTAGCAACTTGGTCTTTCATTGTCATTTTCAACAAAGTTGCTACTAACAACTAAAATCTCACAAACAACAATTCCTTATCATGATGAAACCAACTATATAATAATTCATGAAACTTTTTTTTGGTACTAATTAACTTGTGTTAGTGCATGGTAGCAATTTATATGGTGGCACTAATAGAAAGTTTACATTTAAGTTGGAGCACATATTAACGCTTTCAAAACACGTGAAACATAGAGATCTTAATGTTGGACGTTGCATAGAACACGGTACAATGAAATCAAGAAACAAACACCATTTGTAAGGGTTGTCATCAATTAAAGTGCCCAAATAAAATGATTGTACGACAACTAGTTCCCTGATCGTAACGGTAGGTTAGTGTAACCTTTGAGCATAACAACTATAGATGTTCGTAACTGGGTTAGTCTGATATAGCCAACCCCCGTGTGGTTCGGGGATATCCTCCTTGAGGTGCCTGGGAGGTATCGATATACATTTGCATCAAATGGATATATGTGAATTCTCGTAGAATGTAATGCAATGAGAAAAAAACATGAAACAATAAGGGTGAATTAGACATAACTGATGGTTATCGACTATTGTCCGGATGCTCGCTGAGTTCTTGCTGCCAGGCTGTGCCCTTAGGGGCAAGTGTCACCGTTGGATCCATCCTTGTGACCCTTCACCGTTCGTCTCGCTTAAGGGTAGCCTCTTCGTCGATGAGGGGAGATCCGTTTAGGTTCCCTATCCTGAACAACAGATGAGTTGGGAGCGATCGGATCGTTTGGCAGGCAAGAACATAACAAGATGACTAGTGCAACTTTTGGCCTTGCTTGGATTGGAGGGTGGTACCGGTTGTACGGGCCCTTGCCTTGGGTGATCCAGCTTGGCAATCTGTTGGCTAATGGGGGTTCCCTCTCATTGAGGGAGTGACGATGACCCCCTCTTACCCATGGCCATCGATAGTTAGATGAAAGCGTGCAGCTTGGATCGGGAGTATCCCGAAGGAGGGTCAATGCTCGAGTAGTTGACTGCGTTGTCCTATTCCCCTTTCTGGTTACGGAAAAGGTCTTAGCCTTTTGTCGGTGAGGACTGTTTGAGTTTTAGCTGCTTGTCCGGTGATGATTCAACATTGGTGCCCGGTGTACGTGGGATGGCTTCATCGTCGTCACCGTCAGAGTCCG